ATGGTGGGGCTGCCCTGCCCCCTCAGACTCCCCTTGCCAGCCTGGCTCAATGTTTGCCATGAGTATTAATTAGCTACACCTAATGGGACAGTGCCCACACACAGGCCTTCTGTGGGACTAGGCACTGAGTCCTCCCCTGAGGAAGCAGTTGGGGCCTCTCCCTAGCCGCCTTTGCTGACCCAGGTCAGCAATGTGTCTGCCACAGGCTGGGTGAAAAGGCCCTGCCACTTCCCCTCAGGGAGCCAGCTGGGAGGTGGGAGACTTTCCTCCTACCGCTGCCCTGTGCCCCTTCAGCTCCTGAGTAGCTGGGCCTGTGCACTGGGCAGGTTCCTGGGGCCACCTGCCCTGCCTTGCCTCTCCCCTTGGACTATCCGGGGGGCTCCTGGGATGGAGGGAACTACCAGTGTTCCCTTCTCCCTCTTGTCTTCCCCCCCCCCCACTCTCACCCCAGCTGCTTTACTTAAAGTTGATTTTGAACTTTTTATTTGAGGAGACAAAGTGAAAACAAATCTATAAATATATATTTTTAAAATATTTAACTTTTTTTTATGGTGTTTTTCTTGTCCCCCTCCCTGCCCAAACTCCCCTTCCCTGGGGAGCCTTTGGGCTCCCCAGAACTGGCTGGGCCCCTGGGGATAGAGCTACCCCATGATTGTGGGGCCTGTCAGTGTGTGGGGGAGATTCTGGGATCACCCGGTCCTGGGTTGTTTCCAGGAGAAAGCCGGGGGAGGGACCCTCAGGCCATGCCCCTTGGGGTGGGGAGGGTGACCCACAACAGTAGGCCTCTTTTTTGCCCTAAAGGGTGTTGCTGGGGAGAGGGAAGAGGGAGACCAAATGTGGGGTTGGGGAGGGAGGGTGTCAGGTTGAGGCAATTACTTTATTGTGCCACAGGCATGGGCATTGCAGCCTTGTGTCTCCCCAGGAGCCTGTAGAGGCCTGGGGCCCAAGTTGCAGTGAGCAGGGTGGGGTCTGGGAGGGGTGAGAGGCAGGAAAGGGTCAGAAGTAGGAGTGGCTCTTGAGCTGAGTCCTGCAGGGGAGCCAGATTTGGGCAGCTCTCCCAGGGAGTGAGCAGCTACTGTAACTTTTTTAAATTAAGACTAAAAGCCTTGAAGAAAATGACTTTATTTTTCTAAGTGTAACCTCAGTATTTATGTAATTTGTACAGGGGCTGTGCCTCACCCCCTTTACCCTCTTTGGGGTAGACCTTGAGGGTGGGCCTGAATAGGAAAGGGTCTTTTGCCCTGTGTCAGAGCCTACACCTTCACCACCTGTATCAAGAAAGGGCGCTTCAAAAGCCGCAGCAGTGGGGCTGGAGTGTTATTAGCCCTTTATGACTGCCTTCAGTAGAAACAAACCTGCTTCTGTGGTTAGGTGAAGGGGGAGGGGAGGATTTTACACACAGCCTACTTCCTAAGGGGATGATGACTTGCCGACATGTTTGAGACCCCCCTAATCTCTAACCCCCACTGTTGTCTTGCCCTACTTTGGGGTGCCAAGATACAAGTCACCTTTCTGGGCTTTTCTCCTGGAGATAAATGGGGTTTATGGGTGGCTTACAAGGCTGGGGCATGGCATAGCAGGGGCCAGAGAGTGGGGGAGTTTGGGACTCAGGTCTGTAGCTGCCCAGACCCTTTGCTCTGCTCTTGTTTCACTCCACCACCACTCACTCACTCCCCACCCAAGGGAGGACTGATGAATTTCTGCTTTCCTTCCCACAAGAGACAGACCCAGTGAGTGAATCAGGCAAAATGTTTATATTGTGTGTTGTGTGAGCGTGGCCTTGTGAGAACATGTGTGCATCAGGGATGAGGTGGCATTTATATGTGCAGCAACCCTTGGTGTTCCCCTTCCTTGGTGGCTCTGGGGTGTGTGCGTGTGTGTATGTGTGTGCACACACCTGTGTGAAAGTGTGTGTGAATGTAGGGTGTGTATGTCAGTGGTTTCTACTTCCCCTGGGATGTTGACCCAGGAATAGTAGACATGGTCACAGTCCTATGTACAGAGCTTTCTTTTGTATTAAAAAAAAATACTCTTTCAATAAATGTATCATTTTTGTGCACAGACTGTGAGGATCTTTGGCCTGTTTTTTCACATAAGGAGGATAGCATAAACAAGTAAACCTCAAACCCCCCCCCCCAAAAAAAACCAAACAAATCCAAACCACTCGTTTTGAAAATCCAGCCAGGCTACTTGATGAAAACTGAAATGCAAAGGGGTGGTCTGGACCATTGAACCCGTTATGATTTAATTTAATGAACATTTTGGGGGCAGGAGCCTTTTCCCTGTGCATGGCTTTGCCGGATACTTAACCATTTTCATTAACACGTTGCCGCAAATGACAGTAATACATGGGGGGGGGGGGGATTTGTTTCTAAGCAATTTAAAAGTGTGCAGCGACGCATACTTTAGAAGGTGGGAGTTGTGACAAAAGGCCTGGGTTCCTAGGTTTTGAGTGGATGTTATGATGGGGGG